CTGCAGGTACTGTACACACGTATACATATGTATAAGCAGGCAGACCCACAGATAAAAAAAATAAGTCTTAAAATGGGCTGGAGAGATGGCTCAGTGGAGGGCCAGAGTTCAGTTCCCAGCACCCCTGTTGGGCAGCTCCTGACCACCTTTAGCTCCAGTCCCAGGGGATCTGAGTCATCTGGACTCTGAGGGTACTGGCACTCACCTGCAGACACATATCTAACAATGATTTTTGCCGGGTGTGGTGGACACACCTTTAATCCCAGCACTTGGGAGACAGAAGCAGGTGAATTTCTGTAAGTTCCAGCCTCATGTACATAACAAGCTCCAGGCCAGCTAAGGTTACAGGGAGACCCTGTCTCAAAAAGACCAAAAAAAAAAAACCAAAAGTCAGATACAGAAGTAAACATTGTCTATACCATGAGGTTTTTCTCTAAGACAACAAAACCACACAAGTAAACAATGCCAATCCCTACCCTCTGCAGTAAATGCTTGCTTTTTCAGTTACTAGAATATTTTTATTTTGATCTAAGGAGATGTGTCCTTGACTATATGGGGCCTTATACAGTATCATCAAATCCCTTAATACTTTCTTCTCAGCTTTTAAAAAAAGATTTGTTACTGGCTGGACATGGTGGCGCGTGCCTTTAATCCCAGCACTCAGGAGGCAGAGGCAGGAGGAGCTCTGTGAGTTCAAGGCCAGCCTGGCCTATATAGTGAGTTCCAGGACAGCTTGGGGCTACAGGGAGACCCTGTCTCAAAAAGAACAAAAAAAAGATTTGTTTTGTTTTTATTTTGTGTATATGACTGGTATGACTGTTTTGTCTGTATGTATGTGCACCACATACATGCAGTGCCCATGGAGGTCAGAAAGAAGGCATCAGATCCCATGGAACTTGTGTTATGGACAGCTAGCTGCCATGTGGGTGTTGGGAACTGAACTCAGGTCCTCTGCAAAAGCAGCCAGTGATCTTAACCACTCAACCATCTGTTCAGTCCATCTCAGCTTTTATTATTGAAACTGCTCATAGACCTTGGACTCAGACACCCTAGGAAAAAGGTACATATCAACCAGTCATTTCTCCATATCCAATATGCCTGGTTCCAGGATCTCTTTTGGATACCAGAATCTGTAGATGCTCAAATCTCATATAAAATGGTGTGAAATTTACATAACACTTGCATCCTGTGTCCTGTTTAGATTCCTTATGATACTTGGTATAATGCAAAGACTATGTAAGAAGTTATGCTCTGTTGTTTAGACAATAATGCAAAGAAAAATGTTATACATTTATTGTGTGTGCCTGCGTGCGTGTGTGTTGAGGGGGGGTACAGCTTGTGTGTGAATATCGGAGGACAACTTCAGGAATTGGTTCTCCTTCTACCATGTGGTCCTAGGGATTGAACTAAGATTTTCAGTCTTGGTGGCAAGACCCTTACCCTCTGAGCCATTTTACTGGCCCCTCCAAATATTTATTGTTTTCAATATATACTTTTTAATTGAATTTGTGTGCATTTCTTACAATACATTCACAGTTGTCTTAATCTAGAGATATGGAATTGAGGAAGGAGGAATGATTGTATGAACAAATCTCAGAAGCCCGGCTACACTGGAATATCTTTTATTCACAGAACACTAGTCTCTGAAGCATTAGAAGCTCTAGGATTGAGGCTATAGCAGCTTGTACTGCCGTTCGCAACCTCTCTGAAGAGCCTTGGGAAGAACATTTCCTTAGATAGAGGAAGACACAAGGCAGGCTCTCAGCCTCCCTGTCCTCTTTCTACAACGAAAGAGGGGTTTTCTATTGAAGGATCTTTCTGGAGATCTCAACAGAAGCCCCCTGGTGACACTGATCAACCTATTAGGCTTCCAGGTAATAGGTAACTTAACATCTACTTGTCCAAAACAGGGAAGAAGAGTGAGAATCTTTATCAGCCTGACTTGGAATTTATTAAAATACGTGTATGCTGTCAGCCATGCTCGCTGTAAGTTCAGGCCTGAGCTCATTTACATAGATGACATATGGAAATAATCCCTTGGCTGCATAAACCAAGACATAGGACAACCAGGACTGCTGCTGCTTGAGATTTTCCTCATGATGATGGCCCTGGGCCAACAGTAAATGCAGGGTATGAGGGGAGGTAGTCTCTCTCTCTCTCTCTCTCTCTCTCTCTCTCTCTCTGAGACAATGAGTGACTTACAGGGGGAATTTAAGACCTATTTTGTAAACTTGTAAACTAGTTGGGAATGAGGGAGGGATTTCACACAGGGCCATTAGTTTATGTTTGCGAAAGGAATTGATTTGATCTTCGTTTAGAAGCTGAAAGTCAAACAGTCTGTTGAGCAAACCAGAAGGAAATCTCAGCACCTTTAATTCTTAATGGATTTCAAGAGCGAACACATTCAGACACTGATTTTTAATGTCATTTATTTAAATAAAAGTCAATTTATTTTCTCAGAGTGGGTTTCAAAGTTTTCTTTTAAGTCATTCATAACAATTTTGTTCAATGTCTATTAAAAAATATAATTACATTTTTTGGGGGGGAGGTGTAGACACTGTAACATAGCAAATTGTTTAAGCAAAATAGCAATCCTCCTCTTCCTCCTCCTTCGTTTTTCTCCTTTTCTTCGTCCTCTTTCTCTTCCTTTCTTCTCCTCTTCCTCTTCCTCTTCCTCTTCCTTTTCTTCCTCATCCTCTTCCTCCTCCTCCCTCCTCCTCCTTCTTGGCAGGATCTCTCTATGTAGCCCAGGTGGGCCTTGAGTTCTTGGTCCTTCTGTGTCGGCCTCTTACTGGAGTTCTTGAACTTCAGAATCCTACATTCAAAAGTGACCTAATTTAGTTTGGGGTTTGACTGGTGTTTAAGGAGTCTGGATGAGAAAATGCAGGAAGTGTGATCTTGGCTCCCTCTAGGAGAGTGGTGAGCACACACCAGGGGAGAGAGCTTTGTGCACTCACCAGGACTCAGTCACTTGACTCTTTTGCTTCTCAAATAGTTTCAAAGATACATTGTTCTTTTCATGACTGACACAGATACTGCTTATGCATAAAAATCAGAAGAGGCTAATCTACATACTCATTTTCTTTTTTTTGCTGTATAAAGATGAAATTTAATGTTACAATACAAAATTATATATGTGTACAACTTTATATCCTTTGTGGAATATAATAAATCCTATTTCTGTAATTTTTTTCCATTTACAAATGGGGTTTTATTCCCTCCTAATCCTCCTAAGTCTAACACAAAGGCAGGCTGCTTCAGAAGGGACAGCGCTAGGAAAATTCCAGAAAGGGGGAAGTCAGGGAAGCCAGGGTTTAGGATTTTTCAGATTGTGGTGTTGTACAGATAAACTGTGGTATTTCTGAGTCGTTCCACTCCTTCTGGGTTTAGTGAAATAAAGGCTATTGTATCAGTCTTTTCGCCTTAATTCTACAAAATCCAAGTGGATGGTCTAGCCAAGCAAAGCCATTTGCTGTTGACTGTACTGTGAAGGATCAGGGAGAGTTTAAGACAAGTACACAACAAATATTCTTAAAAGTAATACTTTTCATAAGGTTTGTACTAAGGAATTAAATTGGTAATGATTTCTAGTAAATTATTCTATTCAGTTTGTGTTCTATCACTTGACTATTAAACATCATCTCTGAAGTAGTACAATATTAAAGTTGAGAGGGATCAGTAGAAATTAGATGGCTGAGCTTTGCCAATGACTTATACTTTTCTAAAGTAAAGCAAATAATGGCCATAGCAATGTCCCCTTCACTGGCATTCATATGTGCTTCCTCAAAAGAGAAAGAGGAAAAGGGATGCAGAAGGAATTATGTATAACTGTGAAAGTTTTGTGGCAAATTGTTACACTTGTGAGCGCACACAGACACACACACACACCTGTTTTGGTGGAACCACAGAGTTAAATCATCAAAAAAAAAAAATTTAATTTCATACAACCTTTCCAGTAAATTCCTTTACTTAGAATTCAATTTTATACATTTAGGTTTTATATAACAGATCAGAACAGAAGAAATTCTCTAGAATATGCTTACATTATGCTACATTTTTTAAAAGAGAGTCTTACTAGGTAGCCCTGGCTGCCCTGGAACTCACTATGTAGACTAGGCTGGCCTTGAACTCACAGAGATCCTCCTACCTATATGTGTGCCATCATGCCCAGTTGGATTTTCTTAGGACAACACAGTACTTTCAATCCAGATTAAAAATATTTTATTAAAGTTTTATTTGCTTCCTTTCATCATACAAGGAGTGCAATGTCTTCACATATGGTCCAGTAGGGCTTCTGTTTTGTCAAAGCTACTAAGAACCCCCAAATGAGATTCAATGCCTAAATGTAGCAATTAATTTATCTCAAATATACAATAAATTTTTTTTCTTATTTAAAAATTGGAAATTTGTTTTTACATGTGATAGCTTATGTTAGTCATAATGAAATGGGACAGGAACTGCATACTCATTTTCAAGTTGGTTGCATATATGTGGATGGATTTTTACCAAGAACTTGGGGGGAACTTGGAGGAGGCAGCATGGATGTGGAACAGAGCCCTGTCTTTTTCAAATGATAGATATGTTCAAGTCTACTTTGTAAGCATTGCTATTTTTTTTTCACTTTTAGTAAAACTGTGTATTTAAGGATGAAGTGAGGTTTCCAGATATGACCTGGATAAAAACCAGATGCAATTGTCAGTGCAAATAATTGTCCGTGTTAAATGTGGGAATGATGAGAGGGACATTGGAGTAGATAAAGGCTTGGATTTTAGACTCAAGTCTGCCCCTTAGTAATTGTGTCCAATTGGCAAGTCACTAAGCCCCAGTGGAATTGTTTCCTTTCCTTCCCTTCCTTCCCTTCCCTTCCCTTCCCTTCCCTTTCCTTCCTTCCTTCCTTCCTTCCTTCCTTCCTTCCTTCCTTCCTTCCTTCCTTCCTTCCTTCCTTCCTTCCTCCCTCCCTCCCTTCCTTCCTCCTCGCTCTGCCTCTTCCCTTTCTTCCTGTGCCTCTTTTTCTTTTGTCTGCAGTACTGGGGATTGAATCCAGGGCCTCACACATACTAAGCACATGCTCTGCCCTGAGATACACTCCAAATCCCAATGAATCCATTTTTTTTTTTTTTCTAATTGTGAGGATGAAATTAAAGACACAAAGCATTATCCTCTTTTTACCCTACATACAGTGTGGGAAATAGAATTTGTGATGTGTATGCAAAGATATTTAAGTGGGTAAAATATACATGTTTGAGGGGCTCATAATTTCATTTCTAATCTGTACCTGTCACTGTAATGCAGTTTGGGTAGCACCTGAAACAAAACTCCATGCATGTATCATTTATCTGAGTAAAAGGTGTTAGCTTTTCAGTATTGAAGTCGTTTAGACAGGACGCAAGATCTTTCCCAACCTGTTCATTGGTGGGTAGAACAGCATCAGAAATTGTCAGCTGCCCAACTATTCACTTCCAAAGAAAACTGCTTAGATTTTTGGAAGAAGTGGGACTTCAGTCAGCACAGAGACCTTGAAAGCAGTGCATTAATTATTTTATTAATTTCTTCTTTTTACATTATGGGAAACATTCATCTATTTACAGATTTGTTTTTTTGTCCACACACAATCTAGGTAAATAAGCCTATGAAATTCCTATTCAGAAAGCCATAAAAATGTTCCCTACCCCTCCATCTCTGAAGGCTTTCAAATGAATCTGTTTTTTCCAAACCAAAATAATTTTTAAAAATTACATTAGGGAATTCAGGTATGCTAGTGATTTACATTCCAGTTATTTAAAATATGCATCTAGACATGTTTTTAAAAAGAAATGGTAAATTCACAAGAATAAGGCTTAAATTAAAATGGTAATACACAGTAAAACATTAAGGAAACATCTATAAATAACAGAAATATATTACAAATAAATTAGTTCTATTTACCATTTCAAATATTAAAAATCTTTAATCCATTTCTTCATCTCTCTTTACAAAAAGGTTATGTGAATTATATGGAAACATCTGCAAAAAATATAATAAATACTTAATTTCTTTGAGCTTTTTTTTGATGAGGGAGACAAACTTCTTTTAATTGCCCCCCGCCCCGAGAAAATGCCCAACACCTTTATACCAAAGTTAAACAAAATAAGTAATTTTCCAGGGTACATACATTTTTCATTACGAACTTAAAAACATCTCTACAAATTACATCAAAAAGAATAATGTAACAAAGGTTATGCTCACGGATGTCAGTTTCAGGGTTCCGGTGATTGACAAGCAGCTTTGTATGGGGGTCATGTCCTAACATCAATAATTAGTTTCTTATAAAGTGTTTATACAGTTGAGACTGTGTTTTTCAGGAAGGCAGAGGTTGTGATGCCCCTGCAGGTGTTCAGCTAAAAGATTTAAAATTCTTACCAAAAATAGCTTATGAATATACAAATGCCATTCGCTTAGACAAGATAAATAGGCCTTCTCTGGTCTCTCTTTAATATATCCTGGGCTAAATCAGTTTCCAAAGAAAATACTGTAGGAGAATCTGGAATCAGGTTAGAAATTGATCTCAACTCTACCTCAGGGCACCGTGCTTTAGTTGTAAAGATGGGTGGGCTTCTTGTGAGTTCCAAGCCATTCTTGGATGAATGTGACCGTGGGCTACCCAAGGGTGATGGTTGGCCTTACTCCTGCAAACTTCATATGATCTTTTCGCTTCTCCAATGTAAAGAAAAAGTGTTTCCTTTTTAAAACTAGTAAATATTCGAAGCTCAAAATCTGTTTGCTCCAATTTGACAAAGCATTTCAAGTGCTCTGTCCACTCTGGGTAAAAGGTGGTTGGTTTTTAAATAAGTTAGTAGCCCTTTTCTTGTAAACCACAGCAGTGAACATTTGTGCCCTGTTGATAAAGGTGGCTCAAAGCATCAATGGCTCTGAGAGGTAGCGAATTCTCTAGTGTTTTTAGAATATGTCTGTGAAAGTATTGGTTGCCAGAACGTGTCGTCTCTCAATTTCGTACAGAAAATTAAATTAGCACCTAGCTATGAAAGTGGTTCTCTCTTTTTTTTTTTTTTAATTTTTTAAAGCATCTCTGGTATGAGCATATTTTTTTAAATCTTTTCTTTTCTTTTTTTTTTTAATGGAAAATTTCTAACGTTTTAGGATGTGAGCTTGACACAAAAACACCCGTGGTACTTTCAGATTGCCACATTCTAAATGTGTAAACGGCTACAAGTAAGGGCATTTGAAGACTTCACCAGTGCATACCATGACTCAACCGGAAACCAGACTCAACCGGAAACCAACAGAAACCTTGTAATCCAACCCAAAGCTTGGATTTCTTTCAGCGAATGCCATCATTTCCTCCCTCCTCATGGCTCCCTACCCCAGCAGGTCAAATGTCTTCTCTGTCTACCTGGAGCCTCTGGTCATGGTGGCAGTTCTTTGGAATGAGGCAGCATGTCAACTCGGGTAGATCACTTTTTATTTTATTCATTTGACATAAAACAAAATCCTGTGCTGGGGAACAAGTGAACTCTGCATAGGAGGAGTGTGGGGAGACGGAAGGAGAAAACATTTCTGAAATGTGAACTCTACTGGGTTGAGCTAGACAGATGCGTAGCATTCAAAAGGGGGACAGAAGACCCAAGCTCTCCTGAAAACGGCCTTACTTGTCATTAAGAGTTTCAGAAGCGACGTGTCCTTATGTGTGTGATTAAGTGGGCCCACCACCGGGATGGACCCTAAATTAGTAGAACCAACACTTTCCGTTAAAAACCACCACCACAGCAATATAATACAGAGTACAAGAAAAGCTGATAAAACGTTTCAGGTCTAAATTTCCTTAATAATAAGACAAATAAATAAATCCCTCATGTAGGATCTTAAACCATCGGTGTTTGCTTTACCTTGCCTTTCTTCATTTTATTGCCTTTCAGAATAGATTAATTTCCCTGAAAGATCGAATTTACAATCTTCTGCTGATTGAGACATTTGAAGCTGTGATTGATGAAATACCAGTGAGGCAGTTTGTGCAGCTGTGAAGGCGCAGGCGCCGGGTACCTGCACGCTTCCCCCTTCCCTCCTACACACCTAGGCCCCCACCTCCAGGCCAGCTTGGTCCCCTCCTCTTTGTCACCACGGATTCCGGTAAGATGGTGTGATTTCTGAGATTGGAAATAAAGCGCTCTATCTGCCTGTAAAAAGAATAACCATTTAGGAGGAAATAAAGGGAATCGGAGCCCTCGTTTCTTTCTTGTGGAAGACGGTTGAATCCCAAAGGCTCACCCTGTGTGTACTGGATTTCTGAAATTCCCTATGGTTTTTATATTGCTGAGCCCTAGGGACACACTAGCTTGAGAGAACTCAGGAGGGTGGGTGACCTACAGGTGTCGTTTCTACACTGGTGGGTTTGACTTGGCCCAGAAAAGAAAGGGTTTTGGATGTCTGCATGAGGCTCAGGACCGGGGAGCGAAGCTCGGTGGAGCGGATGGGCAAAGTGGTCCAGGAAGCGGGGCGGCTGGGGACGGCTCCTGCGAGGTGGACAACTACACCACGATGGTGCGGGTCACTGAGCGCGGAGACGGGGGCGGGGAGCGGCCGGGCAGGGGGGCGGGCTGTCCTGGGCGCTCAGAGCCGGGTCTGCGCCTCGGGGATGTAGATCTCGATGCTCTCGGCGCTCTCGGTGGCCGAGTTCTGGCGGACCGACGCGGCGCGCTTGGCGGCCATCAGGCGCTTGCGGGCCTCCTGGCGCTGCGAGCTCTCCAGCGAGCGCTCCCGGATCAGCGGCGCGGGGCCCTTCGCCGGCTTCTTTGGCACTGGAGGAGGGGCCCTTCGCTCCTGATCAAAGCAGAAGGTTCAGGACATTACACAGCTTCTCAGGACAAGCTTGGGAAAGACTGGGATAGGTCAGTAGTTAGAGCACACGCGCGCGCGCACACACACACGCTTTTTTTTTTTCTTCCCCTAAACCTAAGGATGCTTGGTTATGATCTGCACTCTGTATATGTAATTTTTCATTACTCTGTCTTGGGTATTCGAAAAGATACAGGAAAAAAAAATCTTTGAAGCTTAAGGCCCAGGATAACACTGGATTGCAGAACTAGGTCTCTCCCAGGGCAGGATGTGGGCCTTTAAAATGCCCCCTGTCAAAGGCTGTAGCTTCCAGACCCTCTCTCTGCACACTTCAGACTCTTCCCCGTGCCAGGGACAGGCCAGGAGAGTGCACCTGCTGCAGAAGCATCCAGAAGTCTGCATCCTCTCTAAGGAGGCAAGCTTGGTTCAGAGTATAAAAGCCTCTCCACCCTCTCTCCCTGGGCTTACCCAGCCTCCCTTGCCACCCGGGTATTCCTAAGTAACCAGATACGGTTATAAGGCTGTTTTCCCAGGCTTTTGATGCCACTGTGATTTACATCCTTTAGCACACCACACACAAACACAAAGCAACATACTGCACAGGGTCACTAGGGAGAGAAGACCCTGGTATTTCCTATTCTGGGGAGGGACCAGTTTCAAGATTCTTCCAGAACACCAGTCCCTAGGGGCTTGAGCATGCTTGCAGTGGCCCAGAAGGCAATTCCAACCGCTAAGACAGAAACAGTGTTACCAAAGTTTAACACAGGACTGAAAAAGTCATCCCTCTTATCAGCAAACTCTAAAGTGGGTTTTAGATATTTTCAATGCTTTTGCAAAACACATCCTTCACTCCTTTGGCAAGACAGCCCAGTACAGTGGGGGAAAAAGGACAACCACAAAGGGTTCTTTTAGGAAAAGGGTACTTAGCTTTCAGGTTGTGAGACTACCCACATAAAGCCCATGTTTCGTTTAAAATAAAATCCCCTGACTCCTTATAAAATCAAAAGTAAAATAGATCTTAAAGGCAGTGACTGTCAAACGGCATGCTTCCCATCTCAGCACTGATGTTCAGCGCAGTGGTTCCTCCTTGCCAGGGAGAAATACAGAATTAAGTACATTACACTTGGACTTGGCCCATGGTCATTTAAGGTGGAGTTTGTGTTTCTGAAAGGACAAAAAGGGAAAACACAGTACAAACGGTATCCACCATCTCTGTCTCTTCATTATTTATTTTTCTCTGAGTCATGAGAAGCTCTGATCATAGGCAAAATGCATTCTAAAAAAAACAAAAAACAAAAAAAAACCTTAAAATTAAGCTGGGCTTGGTGGCGCACACCTTTAATCCCAGCACTCAGGAGGCAGAGGCAGGCGGATCTCTGTGAGTTCAAGGCTAGCCTGGTCTACATAGTGAGTTCTAGGACAGTTGGGGCTACAGGGAGACTCTGTCTCAAAAAGACCAAAAAACAAAAAAATAAAAAAAACCTTAAAATTAAGCTAATAATTTATAATTAGGTTGCATATCAATAGGTCACGTGTAACAATTTCTTTGTATTGCTTCCTTGGGACATTTAAAAATCTTCATTGTAAAGCAACTCAGTGGATATTTTTTAAAAGTATGAAAATTGGAAGCTTTTTAGTCATTTTTCCTTTCTTTGCACACTTTATTTTTTAACAATAATTAAAAATAATCAGCGAGAAATTAGATAGAGCAGTACACTAAATTACCAATGTGTGTACACCTGTGTGTTCTGTTAAAATCAGACCAATTTAAAAGCCTTGCTAGCAGATAGTTTTATACATAAAGAAAACTAGATGAAGCACAATGTTTGGCCTCACAAACGAGAGGCCACATGTACATCAATAGCACTTCTATGTTTGGCCCTAACCCTCCACCCCCTCCCAGTTTGATGGACCTAGAATTGGAGAAGTGGTGACGGCATTGCCCTCCCATTACTTACAGGCAGTCCCCTGGGGCTAGATTTCTCCTGGGAGCCCGCTGACCCCATTCAACCAGAATGAAGGGCAGCAGTGGATTGCTGTTAGCTCTTGAAAGGGCAGGGCTATCACTGTTCCAAGGGAACAGTCCTCCCTCATTTTCAGAGGTAACTCTTGGAACTATCTGACCTCAGGTTACAGGAGAAGTGAAGTTTTTAAAAGTCATGTAGGACAGACCAGCCTGGGAAGGTGGACACTGATACTTGTGTAAGCCTGGTGGGACCACATTAATCAAATATGTAATTAGTACTGATTAATTAAAAGAGTTTCAGTCTTTAAACTGTTGAATGACAATCCCAGTGAGCCACTTTCCCCCAGGCAAATCAACCAAAAGTATACTTTTGAAAAAAAAAAAAAAATCCAACATTTATGACTGTGAAACTTCATGGTGTGCATTTTAGACTTGAACAACAGTGATTTCTTTATTACTATATTTATGAAATGATTATCAAAGTCAGTTACTTCTCAGGGTTTCCTATTTTTCTCAGAAACACACCCTGAGGGTGTAAGGAAATTGAACTCTTGCTCTATGGAACCATGCACTGAAGATGTCATTTATTTTTAGTTTAAAAAGCAAAATGGAGGCAGTTCCTTCCAGTGACTAAAGTGGTTTAACTTAAAGTTTAATTAACAAAAAAAGGCCACATTCCCATTTTCCAATTCACAAAGACAGATTTTTCTTTAAAAATATGCCTGAAACATATTACAGATAATATCCCATGATTACTATGTAAACATTGTCATTACAATGAAATGAATATGATGCCAGCTCCATTTCACATTGTAAACAGCAGGACTGAATGCAGAAGCCTATTTAGACTGTCCAGTGTTTGTACAGGTTTTTAAATGAACCATACAAAATCTACATTGTTCTACCTTCTTGTCAAGAGGATCCATCTGTTTCCAATTATTGGCCTTTAACTGATGAAGTTCATCAAATTTCATACTAATATTTTCTATGGACAACTGTAGCATGTCCCAGAACCCCGCCAAATCCTGGGAAGTGGGTCTTGGATGAGCATTGGGATTCTGTGCAAAAGAGAGAGAAATATGCTTTAGAGGTGACGTGACAGCAAGCACAGGGCCAAAGAGGCATTTTCAAACATTTCAAATAATGTAAGGCGGATGAGTTCCTTTTGGTTTTTAGATAAGAGATAAAAGTGAGGCTACAAATGGTAATTTTATACATGCCCTCATTCCAGTCAGTGATTCTCAAATGTCAAGGTTGTAAAATTCCTCTGTCTTGGTACAACAGAATGGTTGTCTGAGTATGATAAAAGGCGAGTTTAAACATTTGAAAAATTCCAGAATATGTATCTCTTACCTGATGCATTTAAAATTCTGTATTTAAATGAAAGTGCCATCTTCGGAAAAAATTATAGTCTGTTATTAATAGAACATTAAATTCCATGCAACATGATTTAGTTAGACAAAAAATGAAAAATCTAGAATATTAGTTTTAAGACTCATGAGTGAAATACTAGGGTAAAGAATTGATGAGTAATAAAATATTTTCAAAGTGCTATGTGTAGAGGGGTGTTCTTTGATACTAGAGATTGAGCCTTTAGTTTGCATATCTCAGGCAAATGATCTGCCACTGAGGTACATCCCTAGTCCCTGAAACTATCATTTGTTCAGTAATTGAAATGTTAGCAATATATAAAATAGAAAATAATTTTGTCATATTACACATTGGAAGTTAACTGGTTAAATGGACTGAGGCATAATATAGCACATGTCAGAAAACATTATGTTTGTACATATGTGTGCATCTGTAATGATTCCTTTGTTAGAATAGTAAGCAAGCATCCTTCAGTGTTTAAGAATTAATATTTTAGAGCCGGTTTGGTGCTGCACACCTTTAATCCCACCACTTTGGAGGCAGAGGCAGGTGAATATGAGTTCAAGGACAGACTGTTCTCTATAGTGAATCCAGGCCAGCTGTGACTACAGGAAGACCCTGTCTCAAAAAGACCAAAAACAAACAAACAAACAAACAAACAAACAAAAAACCCAAAAGAATTAATTTTTTAGCTGGGTGAAGTGGTACACATCTTTAATGCCAGCACTTGGGAAGCAGAGGCAGATTGGGAGTTTGAAGCCAGCCTTGTCTATATAGTGAGACCCTGTTTCATGGAAAAGAAAATTTACTTAAAATTTAAAAAAATGTATTGTGTGTACTTGTATCACAGCATGCATGTAGAGGTCAGAGGACAACTTGGTGGAAGGAGAGAACCAACTCCACAAATTCCTGAGTTCCAGGAATTGAACTCAGGCCATTAGGCTTGAGCAACAAGTGCATTTTCCTTTTGAGTTTTCTTGCCAGTCCAAGAACTGACTTTTGTTTGTTGGCTCGAGACAGAGACAGTCTTTCTGTGTAGCCTATACTGGCCTGGACTTTTTTAAAAAATTAAAAAAAAAATATTATTTTTATTTTATGTGTGTGAGTGTATTGCCTGCATGTACGTGAGTGCACCTGTGTCGTGCAATGCTGCGGAGGTCAGAAGAGGGCTTTGGATACCCCTGGAACTGGAGTTAAGGATGGTTTATAGCTGCCATGTGGGTGCTTGGAATCGAGCCCGGGTCCTCTGCAAGAGCAGTCAGCGATCTTAACTGCTGAGCCTTCTCTCCAGCCCCCTGGCCTAGACTTTTTATCCTCCTGCCTCAGCCTCCTGAGTGCTGCAATTAATAGTGCATGTGATCATGTCTGGCTCAAGGACTGACTTTCTTATTCTTATCAGCATTTTCCGGATCAGGTCTAAGTAAGAAAACATACAAGCCAGAGGCTGAAGGGATCAGGCTCATTGTCAACCATCTGCAGGACTAGCTAAAGGCATTCGTGCTGAGATGGTTAGCGTTCTGGGTGTTGGGAGCCTCTGGCTGGTGTGTTTCTAGTTCGCTCTCAGTACTGCGAAAAACTGAATAGTCTAAAGCTTCATGTCATATAATAACAGAGGCCAGCTTGTACTTTTAAGATTAATTCAAAGGATTTCAGACAGTACAAGGGTTGATGACCATCAATGTTAAAAGGTTGGAAACCTTTACATCTACAGATGAGATAGTATTAGTGACTTCCCTCAAAATAAATACAAATAAAGATGTATTTATAAGTATAGACTTCTAAAACTACCCCTAGCTCTGAAAGTCTTTGAAAGAAGTGAACTTTAGAATTTTTAAGTGCTTGCTTCAATATTAAGGTCTGTTGTAGGGATGAGAGTAGAGCTTGGTGGTGCAGGACGTGCTTAGCATATGCAAGGCCTTGGGTTCAATCTTTATCACAAATACCAAACCGAAACCAAATAAACCAAACCATTCAAGAATGACACTTGAATTAACAAAGGGTTTCTTTATAATAATTTGACTTAGTAAACAGCAATAAGAACAAAAATGTCTCAAGGGGTATGGTGGCAAACATGGGTAATCTGAACAGTCAGGAAGTTGAAGTAGAAACACCTCAAGTTTGAGGCTACATAGTCAAAGTACCAAGGAGGGGGGCTGTAAACATTCAGAACAGATAGGTCATTACCTCCCTAATTTGTCAAAATGCCTTAATGATCTCACAGTGGACTTAGCCTCATCTGTAATTAAAGACTAAACTATTCATATTTTGGAGTTCAGTTATACCGCTTTAATTGTTTTAGCACCAATAGAAGAAGCAGTTCAGGCTGAATATCTGTAATCTGAAACCCTAGGGACCAGAGGTTGAGCTGTTGGATTTAGGATTTGGAAACTCTTAACTAAACATAATATCTTATAAACAGAATACAAGGCTTAATGAGAAATTCATTTGTGTGTCATATACACCTTATACATACAGAGTGAAGGTAATTATACTCAACATTCTTAGTGTGCCTGCATTTTGACAGCAACAGGTTACGTGGTCAGACGTGGACTCTTTTACTTCGTACGGTGTACCTCACTGCCCCCAAACGTTTCAGATTTTGGAGCATTTCTGATTTCAGAGTTTTGGATTAGGGATGCTCAATTTGTACTAAGCTTCTGACACAGTTCTTTAAATGTGCTTAACTCTGTATCAAGGACAATCTGATTCTACCCCACAAGGAATCTCTTTGCCCTCATATTGTCAAAAAGACAGATGATGAAACAAAGAGTTTACGTGCTAACCATTCTCTATGGTAGTCAGGTAATGTCTGAAGCACAAGAGAGGGTGGCTGAGTCTAAGTCAGGGACGGGAGGATTGGACTCCTTGGTTTTTCATCCATTTATTCTAAATCTGAGGATCTAGCCTGGGATGATAATGTATATTTTCTTTCTTTTTTTCCTGTAGCCCCAGCTGGCCTGGATCTCACTATATAGACCAGGCTGGCCTTGAACTCACAGAGATCTGCTGCCTCTGCCTCCTGAGTGCTGGGATTAAAAGTATGTGCCACTACACCTGGCTGATAATGTATATTTTCAACTAAAGCACTATTATTTTTTTCCTCAAAGGAGGAAGAACTAAAGAAAGGATAGCTGAGCCTGGTCCTAGTTCTGACCAATCCTACAGTCACTTATTATCTATTTTTTATTTTTATTTTATGCATATGAGTATTTTGTCTGCATGCATGTAAGTGCTCGACAGGCATGCAATGCCTGTGGAGGCCAGAAAAGGGTGTTGGACCCCCTGGAACTGGGAGTTACAGATGGTTGTTAGCTACCATGTGGGTGCTGGAAACCAAACCCAGATTCTCTGCAAGAGCAGTCTTAACCACTGAGCCATTTCTCTAGCTGCTAGGGTCATTTATTTATTGTGTGGATGCTTGTGAAGGTATGTGGATGGTTTTTGGAGGACAGCTGGAAGGAGTAAGGTCTCACCTTCCATCACATGGGTCCCAGGGATCAAACTCAGGTTATCAGGCCTGGCAGCGAATTTCTTTACTGGTTGAGTCATCTTGCTCACCCCCTAGAGTCACTTTTATACAGCTGTAGTGCTAAGAGGGGGGTACCACCAGGTACTTCCTGGACTGACTTCCCTCTGTCAAGGTAAGGAGTAAAACTCAAATCCTGGTTGGGATTTATGGGGACTGAGGTCAAACAGCCTGGGTTTGATTCTTGGTTCTGCCTTTACCATGGGCCCACGGCTAAGTTTCTTAACTTTCTCTGCTCACTTATCTTGCCTGTAAAATCATCATGAAAGCAATGCCACTAGTAACTCACTTGGTCATTCTGAGGATTTAGCCAGGTCAGAAATCTTGGTGTCAGCAAGGCCCCTGGATGGGAGGTACTAGCCTTCCCTTCAGGGGCCTGGTTTGAGCAATACCATTGCATTGCTGCAGGCTGCCTTTACCAGGGATCCTCATACTGTACCACCCAAGTTTCTCGAGTGGCCATAGGAGTCCATCAGGAATGAAGAAACAGCCAAAGCTGGCTTTCATAAAGTTAACATTTCCTAGAAACAGCAGTTGTTTCTTTTTCTTTTTTTAATGGCGCCTGCAGTTTCATCTTTAAAACATATACAGTATTTACATTTTTCATGGTGCACTTGCCCATGTGGAAGTCAGGACCATTTTCAGGTGTGGGTTCTCTCTTTCTACCATGTGGGTTCCAGGGACTGAACCCAGGTCATCAGGTTTGGTGGCAAGCGCCTTTTACTCACTGAACCATCTCACCAGCCTTAAACTAGATTCCTTTTGAAGAGAAAATAAAGCACTTCTGATGCAGAGTTAAAACTCTAAAATCATATTTAGGGTCATTTCGATCTCAAATAATCATGTTTTCAGTTTCTACACATAAATTGCTTTTCATTTGTTTTAGATCCAGTGTGAGCAATAATTGAACAATAGAAGTTATGTTTGTGGAATTACACTTGGATAGACAGTAGTTCTTTCTGGGGGGCACATGTGAAGAGCCTCTTATTTTGCAATAAACTTTTGAAATGCAATGGCTGTTTGTGGTGTTTTCTTTTACTTTACTTTGTTTTTGCTTCTCAGAGATAGATGAAATACTCATTTTTCTTAGGGAAGCCAAATCTACATTTTATGTTGTCCTCAACCTTTGGCCTTTAAGTTAATACAAAACTCTCTGACTAGAAGACAGTCATTGATAGCTATTGTAGAAAGAGGATAATGATCCAAAAATTACCTTTGTAATAGTATTTGTGAAATACCAGGCTGCTTCATATTTTAGTAAGAATAAGAAAATCACAAGTATCATGTAAAATCCAGGAAAATAGAAATGTTTACATCAGGAAGGCAGGAAATGGAATTTTTAATTATTTTATGTGTATGAATGTATTGCGTGCATGTATGTAAGTGCACCCGTGTTGTGCAATGCCCATGGATTCTGGGAATTAAAACCTGGTCCTCTGCAAAAGGAGCCAGTGCTTTTAACTGCTGAGCTCTCTCTCTAGTCCCAGGAAATGGAATTCTAACTTGATCTTTCTCCTACCCCCAAGACTATATAAGTGTAAAATAAAGTTAAAAAAAATTTTTTTTTATTTTAAGAGACATGAGAAGCAAGATACATCTGAAAACCGTCTATTCCAGGTGAAAGACTGCAGTAGTCTTGATTTAACCTGGTTCAAACTGAGTTTCTAGCTTGGTAGGGCAGGTAGCTTGGTAGGATTGGTAGCTCTGGTCCTGTACCAGTAGGGAGCCCACAGTGACAGGGAATACACTTACCAGGTTTTCTTCACACAATTCTCTGAACTGGTAGAATTTCTGGGCCATGAGAAGTTGGGCACTGCCCACCGCAGTTCGGATTTTCCCTAGAACTGAAAAGAACAAACATTCAAGTTTACAGGGGGCCTCAGTGTTGAGACTTAGTCTGGTAAACAAAGCAAAGAGTCGGTCAGGAAAAACAGCACACCCTACGCCCACGCCCACCGGGATTGATGCTCTATTGGCCCATGAAACACCGGCTGCTGGGTGGGTTCAAGCATAAAATCAACTTGGAAAAACACACGTTCATTGCGTTGGTTTCTTGGGACAACTGGAGTTTTCCATCACAGCACTTAAAAAAAAAAAAAAGCAAACAGTTCTCTTTCACCACGAAGACCATGTCAAAAGTGGTTCCCAGTGTAGTGAGGGATTTATGGAGTCAGCGATCCTGATCTGCTGGCTTGTTTTGTTAATCCGAATTCAAACAATGAATAATCAAACAATCCTAACTGGGCTGGAGGAATCTCCTGGCAGTCACCCTATCCCATCCAGATTCTTCATTATCCCCCCCCCCCGACCCCCCAGTTCAGCCACTGGCACTGAATGATTTGCTAGGGAGTGACGGGGTTCAGCCTGTTGCCTAGGGAACAGCAGCACCCACCCAGATTTTCTTGTTAACATGGGCTCCTGCACAGCCTTTCCCTTGCAAGCAAGCTACTTCTTGCCACAATTAAGGCGAACACCTTTGAGTTCCCAGGAAGGCTGGATCTTCTGGGGCGGATGCTATGTGCAGACAGATGGCTTCCAGGTCTGAGTGTACCAGGGGCTCCCCCTGCACCCGCACCCTTCACAGCTGCCACTGCTGGAGCCCTGCCACTAGGCGGTTTGCAACACGCCCTCTGGGATAGAAAAGGAGAGAAGGTGCCCTCGAAGAAGCTAGAGAGAGCCCAGACTGACTCAGCTAGGGCTTGACTGGACTGGGAAATCTTTCCGGGAGATAGCTCCGGATTTAAGCAGTCTTAGTGTTGCTGTCAATTTTCAGAATTTAGACTCAGGATGGAATTAGGTCTTCTCTCAACCACATTCCCCACAAAATCTTGGGAGTAGAAAACAAAAGGAAAGGAACTTTAATTTCCCAGGTTTTCTAGTAATTTGCTCCTACTTACATGCTAGACTACATAGTGGTTTGTGATAACATCCTACACAGGCCTCACTCAAACATTCCAGAAGCTGGCACCTACAAGTCAGAGCATGCATGAATTCAAACGTCCCTAGTCATGCTAGACTGCTCCAGGGGCAGACATTTGCCTCCTCCAAATCACAGGGTTCCCCTAGGACATTTATCTCAAAGTCTTTCCTTAGGCCTAAGCTCTTTTACTTTCTTCCCATCTTGCTTTTAAAATCCTTTGGTATGGTTATCCTGAACTTTCTATGTAGATCAGGCTGGCCTGGATCTCACAGAGTTCCTGAGTGCTGGGATTAAAGGCATGTGCCACCATGCAGGGCTTCCTCTTCCTTTCTTGATACCCCAAAGCAGACTGGACAGTTTATGGGGCTTAAGATAGTTCAGGCCTTTTCCAGCCACTGTTTGGTCATTTCACAGCTGTTTGCTCAGCATGAACAGCTAATGGTATCTGTTGCTATAAAGGTCAAAGTGTTAAGGTGCATGACTCCTTTGGAACAGAAAGCACTTAATGATGATGATGATATAGGATCAGAGACTATACTTTCTTCATGAGGGTGCCAACTAGATAGCCACACTGGTCCTGGCCAGAAGAGAAGAGGGAAATGCCCTGAAATTTGGATTATTTAAAAGTCAGAAGACTTCCTAGTTGCCTGGCACAGATATGTCTTCTGGGTGACCTGTCCCAGACCTGGGAAGGTATGTGGGGCAGGCAGTTTCTAAATGAGCCTGTAACTTTAAGGAAGCTTGAAGGTTCATGGAAAAATCTCTAAATTATCTTGCTTCTGAAATTCCCGGAGTTTAGAACAAGGGTACGTAGTTCTCTGATTTGCTGGGTGGATTTCCATAGGTCCCTGGAAACTCCTACTGGACTCATCTGATATACTTCAATTGTATGTAAATACCAGAGTTATGTCGGACCACAAGAACAGCTAAGTGAGCCACTGATTCTCAAAGGAGGAGAAAGCTTGCCTCTAAACCTTGCTTTTATAAACTAAAACAAAAACTTGGTTGTGGTGGCATACACTTTCTTTAATCCCAGCATTGGGGAGGCAGAGGCAGGCACATCTCTGTGAGTTTGAGGCCAGCCTGGTCTACACAGCAAGTGCTAGGCCATCCAGCGCTGCATAGTGAAACCTTGTTTAAAAAGAAAAAAAGGATTTGGAAGCTTTTGTCAAGAAATCCCAATGGACTCTGATACGAACATTTGAAATTTGCCGTTTTTTCTGGTTCCCTGTCTAGAACTTGCAATCCTAACTACTCTTACCTTTCCTTCTCCTTCACATCCCCTGTTCACCAGTCAATGACTTTCTTTTCTCCCTACAGATAAGAGTTACACAATTTGGGACTCTTTTAGATAGACCCACTGAAGGGGTACCCTAATTGCCTCACCCAGCGTCCCTGTTCAGCATGGAAGAAACCAGAGCGGTCCGTTTCCCAATTCCACAAGTTGGGTAACCTCTTCAGAGGATGATGTGATAAGTATAGGAGGTAGGAATTGGCTAGGCAGTTAGGGTAAAAAGACCCCAATGAAAAGCAGCCAGTTTCTTGGCTAAAAGTCAAAATGTCCTTGGGCCTCTTAGCAACATACTCTGTTTCATATCGAAAGTATTTGGGAGCTTGTATTTAATCCTTAAAAGATTTTAGGGTTACCTCTTCAGAGGGGGGGGATGTTACAGAATCCAAAGCAAAAATGCCCCATAAAAAAAAAAAAGTACATGAAGTTATCAGAAAAAAGTGATGGGGAGATATGGGTTGGAGGGGAAGGAGTGGGCATGGATTTGACCAAAACACTTTATATGCATGTATGAAATTCTCAATAAATTATTTGAAAAGAACCTCATACTTCAATAAAATAAAATTCACCCCGATTAAAAACTTCAAGAAAAAACAAAACAAAGTAATACTAAGGAAAAAGAGAGAAGAAAACTTAAGAGAGTTAAAATAGTTGTTAAGAATGGGGTTGGAAATCACAACGCAATTGTTTCTGGGACGTGTCTAAATATTTTCATTTGTATTTTCTTAGGTGAAACAAAATAGCATAACTTCCCATGTATCCACCTTCCATCTTCATAACAATGTTTCTTATAATCATTTAAATGTAACTATAAATAAAAGGGTGCCTACTCTTGCTACTACTGTTCCATTTTGTAATGGATAATTAGTCAAGATAATTAGGCATGAAAATAAAAAGTCATTTAGTAGATTGGAAGAGAAGTAAAACTTTCTGTTTGCAGATATGACATGATCTTGTATATAAAAATCCCAGATTTAAAAAAAAAACCCAAATCTATTAGAGCTAGTAAGAGTTCAGTAAGGGCACAGAATATAAGAAAACAATGTATTGCTGTGCACTAACAATTTAAAAATTAAGTTAATTATGCCATTTGTCGACAAATTATGCCATTTATAACAGCAAGAAAAACAAGATAGTGTGGTGGTTTGAATGACAATGGCCTCTATAGGCTCCAAGGATTTGAATACTTGGTCCCAGTTGTTGGCGGCGCTGTTTGAGGAGGTCTAGGAGGTACAGTCTTGCTGGAGGAAGCATGTCACTCGGGGTGGGCTTTGAGAGGTCTTAGCCTCGCTCTATTTTCGGTTTCTCTCTCTTGCTACCTGTTGCTACCTGTACCAACTTTACTGTGAGCCCTCAGCTTTCTGCCTCTGCCACCATGCCTTCCCCACCATGGTGGACTCTTCTCCCTTGGAAATCATAGCCCATAAACTCTTCTTCTATTTAAAAAAAAAAAAGGGGGGGGGGGAGGAAGTTCTAAAGCTAGGATGTGGTGGCTAACACCTGTAGTCCTAGCACTTTGGAGATAGAGACAGCAGTATTACAGTGAGTGGAAGGCTAGCTGGGCTACATAGTTTAAGTGAAGCCCTGTTTTTTTTTTTAAATCCAAGGTGTGGTGGAAGTTTTCCTTACTTTTTTTACTTGCTTTTTCTTTTAGACACTCTCTTGGCATATAAGATAAAATATTTTCTCCTAAGGGGCTGGAGAGATGGCTCAGCAACACTTGCTGGGTTTGGTTCCCAGCATCCACATGGCACCTCACAATCACTTAGAATTTTCTGTTCCAAGGGATCTGATGCTCTCCTTTGGCCTCTGAGGGCTCCTACATGTACACGGTACATATAAACCCATGCAGGCACACATACATATACATAAAAAACAAATTTTTCTTCAGAAAGTAAATTTTTGTTTTATTTTGGAGACAGTCTCCTACAGCTCAGGCTGGCTTCCACCTCTCTATGTAGCCAGAGATGACTTTGAACTCCTCACTCTCCTGCCTCCATCTCTGAAGTACTTAGAGTATAGGCATGTGCCACTGCAGCTGGCTTGAAGGTATCATGTATACATGGAGGAAGTAAGCAATGGTGAACATAAAAGGCGAAAGGGCAAGAAATAATGAAAGGAGGAAAGGAAGAAGCATTTTGCTAAGGTTTCTGCACTGCTGAAATGTTCAGCATCGTCCTCAGCAGGGTGAGACGGGAAACACATCTCTCAGGGATGCTGATAAGAAAATTAAATCCACAGAGTGTAACTCTGGGGCTTTTTCCATACCTATGATACAGCCTAACCTGTTTTAGAAAGTTCCAGAATGAGCCTACACGTATGGCATCTTTCCAAGGTTATTCTGGAATTTGCTATTGTTCTGCAACATGGTAGCAGCTAACTTAAAGGAACTGGCCTCTGGGTCCCAAAGCCAAAAAGGCCAGAGGAGCCTGGAAGCACTTCTGGAATCTAGTCAAAACTGGCATGCAAGACATGCCTTCCAATTACATTGTTACAGAGCAATGATAGGCCATGTGGGCTCATTCATTCCCTGAGAAATATTTAGTAAGGGTCTATCACATGTCAGGCATTATGCTAGGTGGGTATGATACAGTGGCCAGCACAACAAAGTCCTTGCTCTTGTGGGACTTGCA